CCCCCACCTATCCCCGGCCGCGTGTGTGTGTGAGCCGGGTATGAATGGAAGAGAGGTGACGGATTCCAGCCCGCTCTGTCCCAGAAACGAGATGTGCAATGGGGAAGGAAAGGAACTTTAATGACAAATCAAAGCAGAGGGAGCCAAAGTGCAAACTGTCCATCCCCCAATGGTGGGGGGGGGGGCCATCCTGAACCCATGTGCACACCCTCACCCCCCTTCAGGGCCCCAGCGGAGGCCCAGGGCCTGAAGCTTCTGCCTCAGGTAGCTCTTGAGCTGGGACAGGCCTCTCTGTGACTCCAGTTCCTCGAAGGGTAGCTGCAGGGGGAGAGGGTAGCAGGTTACCCCAGGGCCTGGCCGGCCAGGGGAGGGGTACTAGCTGAGTGTGTGGGCGTGGGGAGGGCTCTCACCGGCAGGAGCTGGTAGCCCATCAGGCCCAGATGCCGCTCCCGCAGAGCCCGTGAGCCCAGCAGCACTCTGCCATCCCGGCAGAAATGCCACCGTTCCCGCAGCATCAGTACCACCCTGGAGGAGAAGTGACTGGCTCAGAGCTGCTGTCTATGAAGGCAGACAAGGCTCTCCCACCCTCTTCCCTTACCTCTGGGCAGGGTCACGGGTTGTGTAGGGACAGGACCGGGGAGGATACGGTAGGAAGGGGTCCTGGGTTCTCACGGGGAGCACAGCACCAGAGCTGCTGACACAGAGCAGGAAGTCTGCAGGGCATGGAGAGAGAGAGCTGCTGGCCTTCAGCGGAGGCTCCGTGTCCTGGCGAGCCGCTGGCCCACCCGGAGCTCACCTGTGCAGTAGCCTGGAGGCACGGTCAGGTCCTGCCGATACTTCTCCTCCCCCAGCAGCTGGCGCAGCCCCTCGGCTACTATATCCTTGTGACTGAGGGGGGAGAGGAACACCGGTATCAGGAAAGCCCCCAAGACACTTGTTCTAGCTCCCTCCTGCCTAGTTCCACGGTCCTGGGAAATGCCTTTGCTGCTCCGCTCTTTCTGACTGCCTAGGGCGCAGCAGCACGCACAGAACGTGGTCCCCCGGCTTGGCCTACCCTGTGCTGCTTGCGGGCCGCTCCCCTCCCCTCCCCTCCCCAAAGCTGCCCCAGCCACCTGTACTTGCAACGGGCACGGTCGGTGATGAGTGGCTGGGGGAAGATGGGCACTTGTTGCCTTCGGGGAAGGCGGGGACCCCGATATCCCGGGAGCTCCAGCTCCACGGCCGTGTCTAGCAGGGAGAGGTAGCGCCGCACAATCGGGGCGTGAGGGGTGCCTGCAGGGAAGCAGGACAAGGCTTACTGGGGTGCAGACCCCCACCCTGCTTCCCCTGCCCACTGGCTCCCCGGGACCCAGCCAGCCCTCCAGTCTGCGCACCACTGATGTGGCTGATGAAACCTGGGGAAAAAACAAAGTGCAGGGCTCGGAAGGGCAGGCACCGCAGCTGGCACAGTGACATCAAGATGTTGACAGTTGCCAGGGGGGCCACCCCTGCTTCCCGAGCCAGGATCCTCTCAAGGCAGGGCATGAACTGCTCTTCCAGAGGCAGGTAGTTCAGTCGCCCAAAGGGCAGGACCAACTTCTGTACCACCTGCGGAGCAAGGGCAGCCCATCACCCAGCGCGAAGCAGTTCTCCAGTATCCTTTACAAGCTGGACCTCAGGGAGGCTTGGCCTGCAAGCTTACAGCATCACCATAAAGGCAGAACAATCCCTCTACACACACACCAGAAGCTCAACAGTGTAAGCACTGCTTGAGCTCCACGCGATTAGTCTTCAAACAAGCAGAGGAGACATGGCTGTGGGTTCTGTCCCTGAAGACTTAGCAGAGTGGGATCAACCAAGCTAAGACGGGCTGAGAGTGTTTGCAGGGCTTCCCTGGCGGCACAGTGGTTGAGCATCTGCCTGCCGATGCAGGGGACACGGGTTCGAGCCCTGGTCTGGGAGGATCCCACATGCCGCGGGGCAACGAGGCCCGTGAGCCACAACTACTGAGCCTGCGCGTCTGGAGCCTGTGCTCCGCAACAAGAGAGGCCGCCACAGTGAGAGGCCCGCGCACCGTGATGAAGAGTGGCCCCCGCCTGCCACAACTAGAGAAAGCCCTCGCACAGAAACGAAGACCCAACACAGCCAAAAATAATTAAATAACTTAATAAACTCCTACCCCCAACATCTTTAAAAAAAAAAAAAGTGTTTGGAGAAGTGCAGACAACCCAGGCATACATGCTGGGGAGCTGGACAAGCCAGCGAGGGTGTGAGCAAAGGTGGAACCCCACGGGAAAGAGCAGAGAGCCTAACTGGGTTGTCTGCTGCAAATAGAAGCAGCCAATCAGGCTGGGTGGGGGTTAGGCCTGCCAGGTGTCTTAGGATGGGATGAGTAGGAGAGGAGCATGGGAAGGTGGGAGGTAATCCCACCTTGCTGTTGAGCTGGGCTTCCTGGGCCACCAGGAAGTGGGCAATGGCTTCCAGAAGCTGGGGCTCCCGCAACCGGTGGCGGGCCAAGTGCTGGGCCAGGAGCACCATCACGTGGGGCGTCAGTTCCTCTGGCCTGGCCTCTGCGAAGAACAGCTCATCACACCGGACCCTCAGGTCAGACCTCAACTAGATTCCACCAGACACCACCTGCCTCCGCCTCAGCTCCCCCTCCTCCCATGAACCTTAACCCCCTCCAGCACCTGCCAGGCTGCGGATGAGGTGATGCTGTGGATGCCGCTGGAAGCGGGGGCAGCTGAGAGCAGCTTCCAACCTTAGCCCACCGCGAAGGACAGGCTGCAGAGGGGGAGGTGGCTTCGGAGGGAGGCGAAACCTTTGCTCCTGCTCCAGGGCACACACCAGGGGCCCATCTGATGGGAAGCCTGAGGAGGAGAGGGTCAGAGGAGGCAGTCCTAGCAACAGGGAGTCGCTCTGCTCTGCTCCAGTCCTGGTTTAGTTAATGAATCCCCAATCCTTCTCATCTCTGTTTTCTGGGCTGGAAGGTTTGCTACAGAGCACGTGGAAACACTAGAGAAATGTGAGATATCACGTGCACTAAGGTATCAGAACAGTCTGTGGGGACGGCCTTTTACAAAGAAGGCAAGTGAGTTCTCATCTCTTGCCAGTGGTAACAAATTGCAGGGGCTTCCTAGAGCGCTGTATTAGAAGGGACCTGGGGTGGCGCCCTAGCTAAGCGCAACACCTGCTGCTTGACTCGCGGTGTCTGCCACGGATACAGGGGAGCAGCAGCAAGTGTGGCGGCGTATGTGCCATTCCCGGCAAGCCCGAGGGGTGCGTTCTGTCAGCGATCTCGGGTCCTCTGCTGTTTCTCTATTCTTCCGTTAACGCCCACCCCCCCGCCAGACACCGTCCTCACCAAGTAAGACTGCAAGGTGCAGACACACGTGGATGGTGTGAATGTCAAAGGAGGGGCAGTTTCGGATGATGAGCTGACTCAAGTCCTGAAGTGTGGCCTGCTCCACAGGAGGGGGTCGTGGCTGAGACCCCAAGAGCTGGCCCAGGCGACGAAGTGCCACAGGGTAGTGGTGGGCGCGCACCTTGGTGGGGTTCTGGCCCAGCCAGCGCAGCAGCTCCCCAGGGCTCCTCGCCTGTTCCAGAAGCCGCTGCAACCCCTGCACAGGGCCTGCATGGAGGGCTCCTCCAGGAGGCCGGTCTCCCCATTTGTTGGGCCCCAGACAGTAGGGCTGTACTGGTGGGAGCAGCAGCAGGCCAGACAGCCGAGCACTGGAGGCCTGGGCAGAGAGCAGGACTCGAAGCATGGAGTTGGGTGATGGAGACCCTGAGGGGTGGCCCAGAAAAGGGGGTGAGGTATTCTCCAACGGTGAGAAAGACCAGCTATCTACTCTTCACCTCGCTCCCCATCCGGTGGAGCCTGGGGTCAGAGCAACCCTGACTCATGTTCACCCTTCTTTGTGACTGCTCTGCTCCACTTCCCAACCCGCCCCTCTCTGCCTTCTTCCATCCTCTGAAACAGCAATCGTAATCCTTCAGTGTGCTCAGCGTAGGGCTATTTACAAAGCAATTCCACATGCATTATCCCCTCTCGTCCTCCTTACAGGCCTATGAGGAGGGAGGCAGGGCTGGCATTACCTCGATTTCACAGGTGGAGAAACCAAGGCCCAGAGAGGCGAGGGGGTTACGTTAAGCCCGAGGTCACGAATCTGGTTAGTGGTCGCGCCCAGCCTGGAGCCCAGCTCGCCGCGACGATACGCCCTCCCGACCACCTCCCCCTCCCGCAGGAGGCGGCGGCGGCACAGAGGGTGGAGCGCGGGCTCCGCAGCCGGACGGTCCTGGGTTCCATGCTGGGTGCTCCCACTTACCAGCTGCGTGACCTTGGACAAGTGGCTTCGTCTCTCTGCCCAAGTCTCCTCGCCCGTGAAACGAGAACGCAGGGCCCACCTTGGAGGGCGCCCGTGGAGCCCGAGGGCTCAGCTTTGCTATGGCGCGGAGTCGGCGGTGTCAGGGCCCTCCCCCAACGCCCACCCGGCCCGGGGATGCCAGGAGACCGTGGGCACGGTCGCCAACACCAACTCCCGCCGCCCTCCCGCGGCCCGCCCCGCAGGCACCACCCCTACATGGCTCCCCAGGCCCCGCGCAGATCGCTCCCTCGGTCGGTCTCGGGGCCCGGGGGCCGAGCTCCCCCCGCGGCCTCCTCATCGGGGGGCCACCGAGTCCGCCATCTTCCCAGCAGCCCCCGGATCGCCGCCCAGACGCCAACCGCGGCACAGTCCTCGGCCGGCAAAGACGTGGCTCCCGTCAGCCCCCGCGCGCCAGGTCGCCGCGCGCCCCGCCCCTTGCTTCCGGGAAGCTGCGCGCGCGGCGATGGGGCGGGGCCGGGGCGGGGCCAAAGGGCTAGGGGCTGAGGCTGGGATGAAAAGGTGACGGGGAGTCAGCGGCCGGGCTGGGCAGGTTGGGCAGAGCGAAGTGCCCGGTCGGCGCCCTTCATGCCTTGTCTCCCAGTGGGCAAGAGCTCCCCGGCCCCCGGGCCCGCACACGCAGACATACACCAAGGGTGAAAACTTCACATTTAATCTGCACATGTTCCAGAGAACCCCCTCCACCCCTCCCAGCTCCCCTTCTCCAGCCCCTCAGTCTTTGAGTCCCTAAATCAGCCCAAGGAGCTGTCAGGGACTAGAGGTGGCTGGATTCTCAGGCAGAACACTAAGAAGGGCCCAGGGGCGTGGCCCGGCTCTGCCCAGGGCCCAGGCAGCGACAGCAGCTGTCTGACCCGGAGGAGCCGACTGTTAGTGGGTGCTGAGGGCCAGCTGCCCCGGGGGGCGGCCCAGAGCCGTGGAGGTCGCAGGGAGGGGCCTCCGCTGGCCCCCGGAGTGCTCTGCGGCGCAGGGCTGGGCTCCAGGGTAGTGGGAAGAGGCAGGTCGGAGAGGCAGGCCTGGGCAGACAGCAACTCCCACCGTGTCGTGGGGAGCAAGGTCCGGAGGGGCCAGCAACACTGCCAAGAGCCCGTGGAGGCACTACGGGCGGTACATGGCAAAGGCCAGGAGACTGAGGAGCAGGGTGAAGCCGGCCAGACCCAGAGTGGCGGTCAGGGGAAAGAAGGGCCGGTACTGGATCTGGCAGTACCAGAGCAGCAGCAGCAGCAGAAGCAGCAGGGGCAGCAGCAGGCTGCCTACTTCCAGCCCGGAGGGGCCTGGCTCTGACCCCGGTGGGCACGGTGGGTGTGAGGGACCCACCCGAGTGGACACGTGGCAGTGGAGAACACAGTTGGGAGGGAGGTGAAGGCTGCCCAGGGTCTGGGTGTCGTCTCCTAACAGTTGCCCTTGGTAGATGAGTCGCACGTGCTGTTCCCGGCCAGGAAATTGGGTCCTGAGGAGAGAGCGACCTGGGTAATAGAGCAGGTCTCAGGCAATCCTGGCCCCTTGCCCGGAATAACTCTCCCACCCTCACCTCTGTCCTCCACCTACCACCCAAGTCAGGGCCTCTAAGGGGGCCCCTCCTGCTTCAGGGGAACAATACGGTGTGTGATTTGGGGGCCTCAGTTCCCTCATCTATAAACGGAGGGATAAGTCTCAGATATTGATATCCTCAGTGGCCCTTCTAGGTCTGTGATCATTCCCACCCTATTCTTTAGCACTTTATTCCTGTCCTCTCTTCCCGGCTTACCTTTTCAGGGAGCCAATGGTGTCATGGGGCCAGGCCCTGGCCACCTGCTCTGAATCGTTGAGGAATTTCAGCCGAAGTACTAGGGGCTCCTGGGGGGAGTCTGGAGGTGGTGGTGTTGCTGGGAGCCCCACGCCAGGTTCTGGCTGTGCAGCCTGACCTCTGTGTCTCAGGCTGGGGGTCTCAGCTCCTGGGGCCTCCCCTCTGATGCTGTCGGTGACCGCCATGGCTTCGCTGGGCTGTGTCGGTGCTGGGGTCCCTGACGGCTGGGGCAGTGGATCAGCGCCCTCGGCAGTGTGTGTTGAGACCCAGGCGAGAGCCAGCACCAGAAGGCAGGCAAGCACCGCGAAAAGGATGGTCACCTCATCACCCACCCCTTCGATCAGGGCCATGGCACCTGCCTTGCCCGCTGCGCTACCGAGCTGGAGAGGCACAAAGAACCCATGAGGGGCTGGCTCACCCGCCAAGAGCTCTCTGAACTTCGTGGGGGGGGGCTCCTGACCCCACCCCACCACAACTCTCCCACAGTCCTCAGACCTCTGCCCACATACCCGAGCCCCACCGTGGGACACGGACCGCTCTGACACCCAGTTACCCCAAACTTGCCCCACGTACCCCTTCCCATCACCAAATCCCAAGTCCTAACTTTTTGTAACCTGAGATCAGGTCTTCAACCAGCTGCCCAATTCACCCAAACCCTATTCCGAGGTCAGGGCCTTGACCTTCTAAGCGACTCTCCCCTAAATTCAACCTCCACCAAACTTCACCCCAAAGCTTACCTATTCTTCCCGTCTAGGTCATCCCAAAGTTTATCTACTCCTTCGTCTATTTCACCCAAAGCTTATCTACTCTTCAGTCGCTGAAGTTTCTCCAAGGGGGAAGAAAAAGGTCTCTCCACACACACACCTCCCGGTTACCATTTACCCAAACCCCGACCCGCGGCACGGGACCGCTTCCCAAGGCTTCTCCACGCCAAAAGTCAGATTGCGCCCTTTGGCAAACTGGAACCTCCGAGGGCTGCCACCCCCCACCCAACTCGGCCCCTCCTGGTGCACTCAAACCCCACCCCGAGGCGGCCCGACCCCGCGCCTCCTCTGGAAGCCTCTCCAAACTCAGCCTGCTGCAGGACCCCAGATCTCGGCCGGGAATCCGAGACTTCGCCCTCCCCACCCTGATCCTCTATCACCCCTCCCATCTTCCCGCCCCCCACACCCACCCCCGGGTGGCGGGAGGGCGAGGGCGATCCCGGGGCGGGGCGAGCGGAGGCCAGCTGAGGTGGCGGCGGGGTGGGTACGGTCAAGGCGCAGGGACTCACCGCCTGGCTCCGCCAGCCCCATAGCGGACCCTCAGGCACTTCCGGGCGGGAGGTGGCGAGGTCGCAGACACCTGAAGGCACCCCCCCCCCACGCCTTCCCCGCTGCCGCTGCGCCGCCGCCGCAGCCCGGAGTATTGTGGGTCTTGTAGTCCGGCGCGGTGAGCAGTCCCCGCCCTCCGCCCTGCGGACCCACGTGCGGGCTCGGCTGCCCGGTCTCGGTGCCCGCAAATCGCTGAGGGGCTGGTGGGGGCGTATCTGGGGGTTGTTCCAGCCCGCAGAGGTTTCGGCGGCAGCAGCATCCTCCCCCTCCCCCTCGGGCAGCCAGGGCATGTATCACTCCAGAAACTAACGTCAGCTGGAGCGTGTCAGAGCACCGGTGTTTCGAGATGCAGCCTTTGGGGAGCTCAGGTGGATCCTACCCCGGCCTACTCTTAAGTCAGAGTGGACGCCGGAAGGCATCCTGGACCCTCCAAATTGACTCTTCAGCCCAGAGCCCAGTAGCCTTGGGCTGCCCCACCAGGCTGGCTGAGGATATCCATCTTCAGGGCTGGCCACCGCAGCTTGGGCTGCCTTATTTACCTGGTCCCCTTCTCCACTTTGCCCCTGTAAGACTGTGCAAGAAGCATGGGCTTTGGAACCTGGCACAAATGCTGATCCCTTATCCCGTGCTTATCAACTATATGACCTTGTGTGCGTTATTGAATCTCTTTGAACCTAAATTTCTTCGTTCCTAAAACATACCTCATAAGACAATTGTAAGGAAAAAATTAGGTGTTTTATTAAACAAGCGTGAAAACTATGTAGGGGATCTGTCACACAGCAGGTATTTGTTCACTTGGTATTAGAACACTTCCTCCACCCAAATCTGGCCTCAGAAATTAGGTCCCTAGAGTATTGCTGTACAGGGGATGTTGAGCCTCGGCCTGGCCCGGGCCAGTTAATTTCCATGGGTTTTCCCTCCCTCTGGGCTTCTATAGCCACAGAGAGGCACAGAGATCTTACATCCTAGATTGTATAGACCAGTCTTGATTAAAAGTAATGCACCCTAGTGTTCTGATAGCAAATGCTTACTTGTGGGAGCAAGCACTCCAAATGTTGCCTTGGGACAGTCAGTTTAGATTTATAATATAAAGAACTAACTTATTTCTAGTTCCTTCCTTCCCATTTATTCATTTATTCTAGAAATATTTTTTAAGTGTATACTGTGTGCTGGGCACTGGGTGAGATGCTGGGGGTACAGTGAATCAGACTCTATCCCTGCCCTCATGTGGCTCATATACTAATAAAGGAGACAAGTAGCCCCCCAGTGCCAAAACAGGTATGTGCTGGCTGCCGGGGCAACATTTTTGAGGGACTCTTTACCCTCAACAGCTCTACTGGGAGGTACCTGGTGCAACTTCTTGCTGTCAATTCTAATTAAGCTTCTAAAAGATATGTTAGATATTGCTCTTAGACTTACAGAACATAGGGTAGGTGATTTGTTCAACCACTATATTTTGCAGATGAAGCCCAGAGAGGGTGCAAGACATTCTGAAGGTCAAGCAGGTACGTAGAACCCACATCCCTCAGGAGTTTGGGAGGCCCCCGGTGTTGATTAGCTCGCACCAGCTTCTTTGGAAGGTACAAGAAACTTAGGAATGGTGACTGGGTTGGTACTGGGGTAGAGTTGTGTAGGTAGCTGAATGGTGGGCAACTTTTTGCTGGGAAAAGACCCAGCTTGGCCTGGGAAGTGGAAGGATATGTAAAAGGGATGACTGTGCCAGAGGACATCGGGGTGTAGCCCTGGCAGGCTGATTGGCTGGGACCAGTGCTCTGCAAATGCCCCCTCTTATGGCGTTCAGAAAAGTTGGGGGCGGTGGCTAGCAGAACTGCATACAGCTTTAGCAATAGGGATGCAGAGGAACTAGGACGTTGAGGCAACTCCCTGGCCCCAGGAGTGGACAGGAACACAGTATAGACAAGGGAGAGAGGACAAAGAAAATTGAGACAGTCATGTGGACTCTGGTGCGTGTCTTGAATGGGGTGAGTGGGAAAGAAGGCATAATATTTGATTCCTTTCTCTTCTTCCTTCCCCCTTTCAGTGGGGTCCAGCTGTGTTCACTGGTCCTCTCCCGGTCCGGCAGTGGGTGTCTTTTTGGAGAGGCTGGAAGATAAGTGTGGGGACGTTGTTGTTTAAAGTGTCATTTCCAAGGGCCCCGCAGATGAAGCTCTCCTCAGGAAGAACTGGAAATAGAATCCGGGAATCCAGATTTCCAGCCTAGGTGCTGCAGCCGGCAATGGAGAGCCCAGGCAGGGCCTGAGAGAGAACCCTGGGTCGGCGTGGTCTCTAGGGTTGACCTCAGGGCCCTGGGACAGGGGAGCCTGTGCCGCACTGAAGGCAGGGCGATGTAAGGGAGGCGCAACTGGGCCTGGCCTGGCGACCCTCCTCGGCCAATCAGCCGCGTTCATCAGTACCCTCGGGCGCAGGGCACTGTGCGGGCGCTGCCCAGAGATCGGACACCCCACCCAGACCAGCGCAGGGAGGCGAAAGCGACAGCCGGGGCCGGGAGGGGGGCAGCGCAGCTGTCCTCTCGAAGCGAGGGGCCCTCGCGGCGGGTGTAGGTGGGGCCTGGAGAGGAGGCGGAAGGGCCGAAGCTGGGTGGGAGGGGCCCGGCCGCTGGGGCTGGAGCGCGCGGCTCGGGGGTGGAGGCTGCAGAGCCAGCGAGCAAAGCGAGGGGCGGGGGCGCTGGGGCCCGCGCGCAGGAGGGGCGGGGGCGGGGGCGGCGGGGAGGGGGGCTCGGGCTGCGTGTGCTGGAGCCGGCGGGGGCGGCGGTGCGTGCGCATGACGCGGGGGGAGGGCCCGGGCCGCGCGCTCCCGGTCCCGTTGTTGTTGCCGCTGGAGGCTGCTCCCAGGCGGCGGGATCGCGGCGCCGGGAAGCGCCCGGCAGCGGTGGCCACAGCGTGCGCGGCGGCGCCTCCCGGCCTCGGCCCCCGGCCCCCGGCCCCATGCACTAGCCCCGCGCCGCCGGCTCCTTAGTCCCGGCCCCGCCAGCCCCGCGCGCCCGCCCGCCCGCCGCCGCTGCCGCTGCCGCCGCGCCGCCCAGGGATCCGGCCGGGCCCGCCTCGGGCCCCGCGGCTCCGGAACCATGAACTTCCAGGCGGGCGGGGGGCAGAGCCCGCAGCAGCAGCCGAGCCTGGCGGCGCCGGGGGGCGGCGGCGGCGGCGGCGCGGGGGGCGGCGGGCAGTTCGGCGGCGCAGGGCCGGGGGCCGGGGGCGGCGGCGGCCCCTCGCAGCAGCTGGCCGGCGGGCCTCCCCAGCAGTTCGCGCTCTCCAACTCGGCGGCCATCCGGGCCGAGATCCAGCGCTTCGAGTCCGTGCATCCCAATATCTACGCCATCTACGACCTGATCGAGCGCATCGAGGACCTGGCGCTGCAGAACCAGATCCGGGAGCACGTCATTTCCATCGAGGGTGAGCTGAGCCGGGGGCTGCGGGAGCTGGGGCGCGGTGGCTTCTCCGGCGCCGGCCGGGGCCTTTGCTGGCCCGTTCCGGCCACGCTCTCCCCGTTGGGGGTCCTCGCGCGCCTGAGGTCGGGGCCACGCCGTTTGCTGATCGCTGGCGCTGCATAGCCGGCGGCCAGGCTTCGCCATTTCTCGTCCGGGAACACTTTGGGGCTGGGGGCAGGTCCCGTGCCAGGGGACAGGTTTTCTGATCTTAGTGCTCCAGGGCGTGAGGGTGGTGTCGCTCCGGGGATGGGTGCGCTCGGAACCACAGAGGTTCCGGGGTCCAGAGGTCAGGTCTGGTCAGGCATGGCCGGGTAGGGTGGGCGCGGCGGAGGGCCTCGGCGGGCCGGGAGGTGGGGCCGCTGCCGGAGAGGCGTCTCAGCCGCTGTCCCGGCCCTGCCCGCAGCGGAGCGGTGGATCGGAGCCTCCCGTTAGTGGATGGCAGCATTCCCGGGCCCAGCGCCCGCGGGTCCCGGAGGGTGGCGCTCGCCGAGGCTCGCTCTTCCGACGCACACCCTCCACGCTGCCGCGGCCCGGCGGGCGCGGGCCAGGCCTGGCGCGGGGCTTGGGCGCCGGGGCCGCGTGGAAAGACCCGGCCGGGCCACTGGCGCCTTCGCTGGGTCCCCCGCACGCCGGGCACCCGCCGCTGCTCTCCAGGGAGCCGCTCGAGAGGCGGGCTCGGGGCTGGTGGGCGCTGACCGACCTCCAGGGACACAGCGCCAGGCGTCGGGGACTAGAACCCCGGGCCACTGAGCTGCCCAGCGCTCCTTTCTCTAGGCTCTTGGGCCCTGGACTTCGGCTACTGAGGGGCAGAGGAAGTGGGTGCACGCTGCTGGCAGATGTACCACGACCCCGGGTGTGGTGGGGACGGGCAGCACCGGCAGGCGCCCCAGCGGCGTGGTGACCTTTGAACGCATGTGGGGCAGATGGGCCTGGCCCTGGGCCATCTGCTTCCTCCTCCGGCTCCATTTGCAGGGGGACGCCCACCAGCAGGTGGTGGGTTCGGAAATGCAGGCAGAGTGCAAGGCCTTTTGCTGATGACTTGGAGTTGTGGGCAGGGCCCTGTCCAGTACTTGGGCCTCAGAGTTAGGGCCACACTCCCATCTTTCTCTCATTGTGTGAGGCTCTTGGGGGTGTCCTTCACCTGAATACCCCGTTTCTGCTTTCAGAGGTCCCCGTGGCTGAGGAAGGCATAGTTGGTCTTTTGGGGGTAGGGGATCCCATTTAGAGCTGGGGTCCTGCCCTTTTCTTGTAGCATTCCCGTCTGCCTTCTTTCTGTCCTTTTCCCAGCTCTCTCGCATCACATCTCTTTCCTCTGAAGGCTGAGTTCACTGTGAACTAATTAGGTGACAGAAAAAAACTCATTAGCATGGATCTGAGTAAATGGCCTGAATCATCGGTGTGGCTGGGGACCAGGAGATGGCATTTGTGTGAGCCAGGGGCCCCAAAGAGAGGAGATGACCAATATTTCCTCCTAGATCTGAAGGGGTGGGGGGTGGGGGGAAGAAATGCCATTCCCTGCAGCTTCCCTGTTTCCCCAGAGGAAGTAAGTTCCTGATCAGCACCAAGATGCCTCCCCCACCCCTCCCAGCCCCTTTTGGAGGGGGTGGGACAGCCCCAGGAGGGGTGAGGGATGGCGTCCAGAGCAGGGAGAGGCAGGATTGGCCGGATTCCACGTCTAACTCCCGCTTCCTTAACAGTACCCCCGCCCCCCGAGCTCAGGAGGTCTCTGGCCCGGCATCTTCCGTGATGTGAAGGCCAGAGTTCCTAGGACACACTTGGGTTTTCACCCCCATCTTGAATTCAACATGATAGGCGGAATTTCCCCTCTTAGAGCCCTCCCCCGTGACCAGCTTCCCCATTGCGGTTTGGAAGTACCCCACATTCCGTCTGCTTAGCCTGGAAGCTTGGTATCACCATTGCGGATCCTGGGACCCAATGTTTCATTGTCACCAGGGCCCAGCTGCTCCTCACACATCCGTTCCCAGCTCTCCTGGTCCCTACTTCCCTGCTCTTTCTTGACAAGGCCTCCCACCTCTTTCTTCTTCTCCCCTTTTTTTTTTCCAGCCTCTCTCTTGGAACCCATCTTTATTACCCACCTCACCCTTGCTTTCCCACTCCTGTCGCCCCACCTTTTCTGCTGTAGGCAGGGAACAAAAAAAAAAAAAAAAAAAAAAAACCCCAGAAAACTCCTTCTCCAATTTCTGCCGTATATCCTTCCTCTCCCCATCTGCCAAACCATATTGCCGCTGTCCTGCAAAGCAGCGTCGGCACCTTCTTTCTCTGTGGAGGGAGGGCAGCAGCTTCTCTGGCGGGCGTTTCCCTGCTCACTCTCTGAGCCTGACCGAGGCCCCTGCCAGGGCCCAGCGGACTTGGGTCGAGACTGTTACATAAACACATTCATCGCCTGGGAGGCTGATCCTGTGTTTACTAGGGGTGAGCCTCTTAGGGGAAAGGGATGACATTTTCCTAGTGTGTAAGAAGCCTCATTCAGTAATACTTTAGTGAAGGGTGCGTTTGAGCTTTGAAGGTGACTGCGGAGATGCGGTCGGGATGCATTTGGGACTGAGGAAGCGTGGTGGCACCTTGCCCTCCTGTATTCTCTCTGTCTGCTTCTGTCAGCCCCTCTCACCCCGTGGCCAGGGCAGGAAGAAGCAGAGGAACTTTGAGCTTTCCTGTGTTTCAGGACAGGATCTGGAGGGAGGGAGTTCCTTTTCCCACCAAAGGCCAAGGAAAGAGAAAACCTGTCCACCCTACGGTCTTAAGGAACGAGCGGAATGTCACCAGGAGCTGGGACGGAGGGATAGACAGCCTACTGCGTGCGGAGCCCTTGAGCCACTCTCACCTCCCTGGTGGGTACACCGAGGCTCAGAGAAGCGAGGGACCTGCAGCGAGGGGTGCTCCCGGGGCTTGCTCAGGTGTCCTGGCTATGTCCTAGAAAGAGGACACGAAGGAACCAGGCCTTGGTCCAGATGGGGGACAGCCTGGGCCTACAGAACACAGGGGTGCTGGGCCAAGTGAGCCGGAAGCCAGGATGAGGTGTTGGGAGAAGCAGCCCTTGGGGTCCCAGCAGGTGGCCTGGAAAGGCAGGCTTGTCCCTGAGTCGATGTGAACCTGGGGAGGTCTGCCCAAGGGGAGGCCCGCATGGAGGGCCTGGAAGCGGACTGTGGCCCCGGGAGGCTACTGCTGTGGCAGGAACCCGGCTTTGTCAACTGGGTGACTTGTTCCCGTGGCCCTTGGTTTTCCCCCAGGGGTTTTTAAGCAGTGAAATTCCTTGGAGAGGCACCGTCTGCCTGCCTCTGTGGGCTCCAGGCTTGGTAACATTCTGAAAGGACTCAGTTAAAAAGAGGTGCGGGTTTTCCTGTCTGGTTCAAAATTAGGCTGAAGAGACAAGGGGGTCCGGAGCTGTGGGCGGGGCAGTCGGAGGGGGCAGCCTCGGCATCCGTAGCCTTCCCTGCAGGCCTGCCCAGGGCTCTAGAGTTTGTCCCCTGTTTCGTCTGTGTGCTGTGACTAGATCCCAGCAACAGCGCTCTGATGCAGAGAGCAGAATGGTGTACGTTTTGGAGACAGAGAAGCCCTCTCCTGAGCTGATTCCCTTCTGCCTGCTCCTCGGGGTGGGCATCCCCCAACCTGCTGCTAATTCTCACCTGTGGGACTTGCTCGAGTCTGCATTTCTGAGGCTCCCTCCAAGGGATTTGATTCCGTGGGTTCGGGATGGCGGCCCAGGGATCTGCATTTGTAACTTCCCCGGCCCCTTCTGGTAATTAGCTGGTTTGGAGAATGAGTGCCTGGTGGGGGACTGGTTATTTAGGACTTTGCACAGAAGAGCTCTAGGAGTTCTGAAAAAGAGGATATCAGTGTGGGTGCCAGTGGCCTGGGAAAGCTGCATTTGTTCCAGATACATTTATTTAGCTCCTACTGTGTGGTCCAGTTGCATCTAGCACAGTGGAGAGCAGGAGGGGAGAGAAGGGGCTGAGCCAGCGCTCTAGACCCTGAAGGTGAATGGATCAGCGAGTAGGCGGTGCCAGAGGGGGGATTGGGAGTGGCAGGAATAAAGGCCGGGTTTTAAGAAAAGCAGGGCGGAGATGAGAGACTGGGGAAGCCTTGTCAAGACCCCAAGCCTGCAGGAACTTGGGCAGCCTTGAGATGCAGCCTCCCCACCCCCCATTCAGTCCTCCTTCACTGCACTCCAGCTCTCTGCCAGGTGGAAGACACCGTATAGATAAGACGGTCCTCGCTTGTCAACACCCTGTGGCTGGCACATACCCTAACTTTCCTCTACCAGTTATTTCTTTAACTGAATGTGTGTGCCAGGCGCAGGGTCTGAGAGATGCTCCACGCAGAGGGAACAGGTTGGCAAAGGTGGCAAGGGTAGGGGTTCAAGGAACAGCAGGCTGGTCTGCGTGCCTGGAGCCTTGAGTCCACGGGGGACAGGCAGGAGGACCCTGGTTCGGGAGTTTTGAATGCTTTATCCTGTATTAATTCATTTACACCTCACCTTGTTCTGGAAGACCATACGAGGGTGACCCTTAAGCCTGCAGGAGATGGGCTGTCACGAGAGGGTTGAAGTAGAAGCCAACCGGCAGGTCGTATTTGAGAGCCGGTTGCATTTGAGAACTTACTCTCTGTGCAGTGCCGGCTGGATCAGAGGGAGTAAGGCCACAGGGAGAGCAGGCAGCAGAGGTGGATTAAAGAGCTCTTAGTGTCCACGCCGTACATTTGACTGTGAGCCCTCCCTAGCAGCTGTCAGCGGGCCTCTGGCCTCAGAACCTCAGGAATGGAGGGGGAAGGAGGCCCTAGCTTGGGGGAGGCAGGCCCGGGGCCCTGAGAACTCCTGTGTCTCCGCTCAGCATCTCCTGAACACCCACTTAGGACCCTTTGGCTTGCCCCCATTCTCTTCTTAATATGCAGGTAACTCGAGATTAGTTGAACCGGAGAGCATTCCTCCTGACGCCTAGCCAACTTCCA